CAGACACCCTCTCCACATTTAAGGCTTTCAAATATGCAAGTCACCAAACTACCAAACTAGCACAGGCGAGGTGAAAACCTCAGTGCGCCTCAGGAAAACACCACCCGGCACAGACTGGTGCTTTGCACCATGCGCCTGCACAGAAATAGAGCTCTTAGTCTTGTTGTATCTTACTTGTCCATCTCAACCTCAGTCTCCCACTCCAGCAGTGGCACTCCTCTCAGCTGGATGTGGATGTCATAGATGCCCTTGTTGAAGAAATCTCCAGTCCACTTGGCAACCTGATAGTCAACACAAAACCAATTACCACATGAACACATTTACACCAACACTATTAATTTTCAAGACTGATGTAAGACAAACCATTTCATATATGAATTGAAAAAATAGTGGTTGATAGTAGATATATTAGAACAGTGTACCATTAGAGTGATCATGATGGGCAGCCCATATGTGATTTCATTGGTGGATTCAATGAGGATGACAGTCAGACTGATGGTCATTCTGACCACGCCTCCAAGGAAGGCGGCAGATCCGATGAGAGCAAAAGTCCCAGAGTAGATGTCCATTCCCAGTTTCCTTAAAGAGGACAGACACACATTAAGAACCAGTATCAGTCCAAGTGTGTAATCAATGTGTGATGAAAGGAGGGTGAAAAACAGCAGTGGTGGGGTGGACGGTGAGAATGTGTGGTGAAGAGCATAAAGATTTGAGCTAACAGGCAGCAGTTTGCTGACATGTCGCTACGCTAAAATACGCAAAAATCGTTCCACAGCAGCCACACTGACAAGGCTGCCTGCAGATGTGTCGGAGGACGTTTTTGTTCATCAGCTTCGTGAGCACAGACATTGGTTGATGCAGATTATCTCATAATGCGAAATAATTGGGCAATTAATCGGTCAGTGACGAGATACAGACTTGAATAGAAGAATGCATGTGTGGCTTCCATATCCGATATTTCAGAGCCATTGGGAATAGGGTAAAGCCAAACATTAGTCATTAGAATATTACAAGAACCCTGATCTTACACTTTGAGGATGTTGGCAACCAGACGTCCAAAAGCCGCCCCACAAAGCAGTGAGGGGACAAAGAGGCCGCTGGGTACAGACACACCGTAGGTCCAACAGGCCAACAGGAAGTACAGCAAGAAGAACACTGCCAGAGTCAGAGGACTGAAGGTACCTGATGGGAAGAACAGGAGGCAGGGGTTCATTATGACCAGCCAGTGAATATTATAGATCACCTAAAATAGCAAGCTGGGAGGATTTCTCATGCTGCTTTCCACTGTCCTTTTAAAGAGAGCAGATGCAAAAGTGAGTTTGACAATTTCCCAAAACCCACTCACTTTACTGTGCCAAATGTTTAATGAAATAAACTAGATGCAGCACTATGCAAAGAGCAAGTGAATATTAAAGGACCAGCGTGTAGGATTTAGCGGCATCTGGCAGTGAAGTTACAAACTGCAACCACTTGAATACAGCTCAGCTTTCCAAGCGTGTAGGAGAAACTACGGTGATTGCAAAACTTGCAAAAACGTGACAGTCCCTATCTAGAGCCAGTGCTTGGTTTGTCCATTCTGCGCTACTGTAGAAACATGGCGGTTCAACATGGTGGACTCTGTAGAAAAGGACCAGATCCCTCTGTAGATAAAAAAAAAAAGCAAATTCTAGATAATAGATCCTCCTAAATGTTAAAACTTGACAATACAATGACAATAATAGTGATAATCCCAACAAAAACAGCAGGTTTCCAACACTGCTGACCTCCAATCAAGTATAGACAAAATAAGAAATACATAAATCAAATGATAATGTCTTTAAGTGCAAGTAATTCAAATTATATGACTGAACTAATACAGAGCTGTTAAGAATGTGTGTATGTGTTTATCTCACCATCCTGGTGGAAGAGCTGATGGATGGCAGCCTCCTGTGGGTTGAAGAACAACGTGGCCATGTCATTGTAGGTCTTGTTGGTACAGAAGAACTGGCGGATGGTTGAGTTGATGTCCTCACTGCCGGACAGCTGAAAAAAAACCTCAAAACTTAATTTGGAGATCATAAATAAATTATTCTGAATGCAGAATATTTATAATTATTATTTAAAACCACATGGGATGTGATTTCATACCCAATTCATTGTCACACTGGCTTAAATATGAAAGTATAATGGAAAACTAGTGATGACAAAGGTAAATGGTAAATGGACCTG